TGCTCGTCGACAAGGTGTAGCAGATTATATTATTTTGGTAACGCATCCTCATCACTCGACTAATTGGATGTCCGGACTATGATTAAAAAATATATACAAAGGTATTATAAAAGTCAATTAGTTCAAAGATAAAATCAAACAATATAAAACATACCCATAGCAAAATTTATAAAATGACAACTACTCTAAAATAATAACAGGTTTTTCAAAATTTGATCTGATTTCATCGTTCGAAGTTCTATCTATTTTCATTTTAAGCGTTAACATCCTCTTAGATTTTCTTCTTACTTTTATGGATGCATTTGGTGGTTTATTCTGTGATTTTTTTTTCTATTTTTCACATCAGGTTTTTTTATCTGCAAAAACAATCCAACCAAAAATTAATTTTAAATTATAGTTTTAAAAAATAAATAAATAAATAAAATTGATTATTTATATAAACCCCTTTCACTTTTAGTCAAATTATTCGATGTCCCTTTATTTTATAGTATTGTTTAGATTGTAGATCCCATAGTTTACGTCTTTCTTATTGGGTAAAGGGATTTAGAGATGCCTTTTAAATGCATGCATTCCCAAGATAATTAACCGAAAATTCTACATTTCCAATGTTACCGACTACAGAATTGTAGAAATTGAGGTGGTGGGGGGTCGAGGCACGACTGGGGTTTTAATGGTCTGTCGGAATATGGATGATATACTGTATGCCCTGTCTTAACATAAATTGGATGATAGTATGCCCTGTCTTGACATAAATTGCAGATATTGTGTTAAATTTTCTTGTAATCACCAGGAAAAAAGTCAAAAAGATTGCTTTTTAATTTTTATTTCAAACTTAATGATACAATATTGTCGGTGTCAGTTACGTTACACTTAATGCATTCGTTAAGATTTAACATGGTTGATTGGTTGTGAAACTCCTTATCAAGAAGATTTAGAATAGTATTCTGACCAACTTCATATTTTATGGCTTTATGCCATGAATGCATGATAATCCCACCCCATTTGCATACAATACAAGTTGGTGCATGTTCAATATTTTAAAGAGCATTTGCATACAATATAGTTTATAGTTTATTGTTAAACAAAACACAACTAATGTAATGAAAACCAAGTTTTCAAAAAAAAAAAATTGATTTTGACATTGTTTTTTTTTTCATCCAAAATATGATATCACCAAATAGTGTAATATCAGATGTCTCATTATCAAAATTGATATATCAATTGACAACATGGTTGACCGGTTAATTGATTTGAATGTTCAATTTGAAAAAACAAACACACAAAAAAAAAATATTATCAAAAATCAATTTTTATGTAAATTTAGTGATTTTGTGAAATTTGTTCTTTAATAAATGTCTCAAATATCCCATTAATAATAATAACTTATTGGGAATTATTGTCCCAACATGAATACATGATAATTATAGTAGTTACTGGAAAAATTCTTTAAAACAAGATTCAAGGTTTAAATCGCTCAAAATATTATTAAATTTTTTATGATTTATCATTGGCATGATACACTTTAACATACATATTTTTATTGTATAAGGCAAACTAATATCACAAGTGAATAGTGATTGTAACAATATGAAACATAATGTGCCACTCCTTTTGATCACAAAATAAATAAATAAATAATTGCAAAGTTTAATGTGACTTGTAGTACAATTAAAATTTTAATTGTTAATTATGAAAATGTTTCATTTCTTTACAATATTAAGTGCATCATACGAGTTAAAATCATTGTTATGGAAATACGAAAATTTTAAGCTCACTCACAGGATAGATATCCCAACTATTTAGTTGAACTTGGTGCCCCTCAAAGTTATCTATTTTATTTGAAGAGCGTGTATGGATCGCATTCCGTCTGCTACCACCCTCATTCACTGTGGTGTCTCTATTCCTTCTACTTCATGCAATCTCTGTCACAATGGCATTGACTCTAGTGATCACATTCTTGTTAGGTGCCCTTACGCATTTGAGTTCATGTGGTGGATTTTTAGATGGTGTGACTGCTCAAAACTTCAATTCAGTTAAGGAGGTCATTGATTTTGTTGCAAATTGGGGATATTGTCCAAAGAAAATGAAACTCCTTATTGTGATTATTTATGGTGCCCTTTGTAACGTCTGGAAAGCGAGAAACGATAGGCTCTTTAAACAACGCGTTCTCCACCCCTTACGAAGATGGCGGATCACATAATCACCATGGTGTTTAATTGGGTTAAGTGTTTGGGTAATTTTGGCTTATGTAACTGGTCTGATCGTGTCTGCTGCCCGTTTAAAATTTTGTAATCTTTTGTTTGTTTGACTCACCCTGCCTTTTTCTCTTTGGCAGAGGGCTCGTTTGTTTTTTTTTTTTTTTTTTTGAACGGCAAATCTAATCTACTCCTACACTACTCTTAATTCTCCACCTATGTTCCTCACGGGACTTGAACCCTCGACCTCAAGGGGGCTCGTTTATCTTCTTTATAAAACCACGGTTTCAAAAATAAAATAAAATAAAAATCTTATATAATGAAAAGTTTTAGTAAACGGTATGTAAATAATGTAAATGAAGTCATTTGTCTTGTAATTACAATAAATCTTAATGGCATTTAAGAACAACATATTTTCATAAATGTTTCATGATATAGAGCACATTTTTAAGTACAACATAGGTGACCTTCGAGAATATCGTACATGAATTTTTTTATTTTTACTTTTTGTTAAAAAAGCACTATAATCTATTAGAACGTAAGGTTTGAACTTTGAACGATACAGTCGTTGTCCATAGAAAATTCTTTTCTTGTCACCTATAGGCTATAGGGCGGTTTTTTTTTTCTTTTTCTTTTTTTGTTCCTTTCACAAGAGTAATAGTTGCTTCTTGATGATAAGTCAAATACAAAAGTTAATATTTAAAGACGTATATGACTATATAAAATATGCGTCGACAATTTACATGCATGTCATGTATAATTATTGTATAAAGTTTATCACGTCTTAAAAAGTACAATTACACTTGGACTTAAATCTTGTTACTAAAAATGGAGAAACACCCAACTTCATTATACAGCTTCTTGGAATAGCAAGCCAACATTGGTGCTTTTTTTAGCAACAAACAGACACTTCAACACTATATATATGCATGCCCAACACTTAATCTTAAAAACCACATTCAAATCTAACTTTGGTTTTTTAAAACCTTCACCATGACACTTAGTATGAAATCGGTTCAACCATTCGCACCCATGGCTAAGCCACCACCCGAACCACTATGTCAAAGGTGGTCTACACTGTCCATGAAGACAGCTCAACCAACACGTGTCACTCGAGCTCCAAGTAAATGGGTTATTGACTCGGAAGGTCGTCAGACGCAACCACCACTGAGTCGACTCGGTAAGAGATGGAAAGAGTATCACGGGTCGAAAAACTGGGAGGGATTATTGGACCCACTTGATGACGGTTTACGTGACGAGATTATACGGTATGGGAGTTTTATCGAGGCGGCGTACAAATGTTTCGATTCCAACCCTCCTTCAGCAAGTTACTCTACACGCCATGTCACCGACTCAAAAGTTGATGAAAGTGGATACCGTGTGACGAAAAACTTATACGCCACATCATCGATTCCAATGCCATCTTGGGTAAGAGGGATTGGAGAGCGGTCTAGTTGGATCGGTTATGTCGCAGTCTGCGAGGACCAGAATGAGATCACTAGACTCGGTAGACGAGACATAGTGATCTCATTGCGTGGGACCGGGACCTGTCTAGAGTGGCTCGAGAATCTGCGAGCCACTCTGACTCGTTGTCCGTTCGGCAACAAGTTGTCGAACGGACAACATGACGCTCCGATGGTGGAAAGCGGGGTTTTAAGTTTATACACGTCGAGCACGACGGTATGCCAAAGTTTACAGCAATCAGTAACAGACGAAATTTTAAGAATAGTTGATACGTACGGTGACGAGCCGTTAAGTGTCACCATCACAGGACACTCTTTAGGTGCTTCTTTAGCTATTTTAGCTGCTTACGATATTAAAAATACGATCAAACACGCGTTACATCTCTCGGTTATCTCGTTTGGTGGGCCCCGGGTTGGGAACCGGAGTTTCCGGCATAATCTAGAACTACAAGGGACAAAGATTCTACGGATTGTGAATTCGGATGACCTTATTACCAGAGTACCAGGTTTTTTCGTGGAAGACCATGATGACGTGGCGAAAAAACAGAAACCTCGCGTGGAACATTTGCCAAGTTGGATACAGAAATGTGTAAATAATAAACGATGGGTTTATGCTAACATTGGACATGAACTACGATTGAGCAGTCGCGCATCATTAAAGTTGAACAGTATTGATGTTGCCACGTGTCATGATTTAAAGACATATCTACATCTAGTAAATGGATTTGTGAGCTCATCTTGCCCTTTTAGAGCAAGTGCAAGAATGATGCTCAATAAAGCTTCAACTGTTCCTCCCACATAACAGTTTTTTAATAAAATCATTTTTTATTTTTTTATTTGAAAAAGATTCTTTGGGAATGTGACATTTTATAACATTACCCTTGCATAAGTTTGACTCTCTTAGTCTCAAACTTACGTTTCATTTCCAATCATGGGAATTAATTAGTATTCTGTGCAAGATTTAGTCAACTGTCAAGTAAATGGTGTATATTTAAATACGTAACATATTTTGCTCATTTTTAGTCATCTTACATCTAATTGATAGTGTTCAATGCAAGAAAAAGTAATGTATTTTCATTTATTTGTTTATTATAATTTATAAAATCATATCTTCATCATTTCCTATTTCAGTATTGTACTTGAAAAATCGAACTAATTATAGCAATGTAATAGAGCCAGGTATTTTAAAGTACAATTTCTAAATAAGGAAAAATTGCAAATACAATGCTATAATTGAATGACTTTATCAAAGTACAAAGTCTTAATAAGAAAAAAAAAATGAAAGTAAATTGTTGTGATAAAAATATAATATAAGTAAGATGCTATAATAAAAAAATAAAAAAAAAAAAAAAAGTACATTGCCATATCTTTTGCATTTATCCTTATGTCATATTGTTTAAAAACATTTATACTTGAAAAAACTGGTTTAGCCAAACCAGAAAATGTTCGAATTCAAGTGTAAGCAAATACTTTAACTTACATTGACCCAAAGAATTGAGATTTTATTAACTTGTAGTGAGGATGCATAACATATTGCAAGAACAATAGAATCTAATAATATCTACCTTGAATAATCATGCTTTTGTGTTGAATTCTACTCTTAAATCATCACTTCTTTTTACCAGTTATACCTGCAACCACCTGCAATGATTTTACAACTATCATTTAAAATCAATGGTTAAAAATGAATGTCATTATAAAACAAATGTTCAATACTCACATCGTTTAAAGCAGGTTGACGAACTTGCTTGGAAGATTCAAATGAATCCAGCATAGGCTTCACCACGGCTGGAAGGAATAGACCTGAAAGTTCACAATTCACAAAGGTTTCACTTATGGTGTGGTTTCCACTTTCCAGGTAATCTAAAAAGGTAACACATTTTGAAACTAAAAACCTAAAAATATAGGTATCAATTCTAATTTCCAAAATCAAATGTGAAATCTATCTTTTCTGGGCAGAGGTGATACGAATCAACAAAAGTATATATGCTTTCCGTTTTTTTAACAATGCAAGGTTACCAGATCGATATCAGATATCAGATCATAGAAACAGGATGGTGAAACAGATGAATCGTGCACTGCAATATATCGCTGGAATTACATCCAAATTGAATTTGATCGAGAAAAGGAACATAAATTAGGGTTCAATAAAAAGAAGAGGAAAGGTACCAACGCCACCGAGGAGACATGAAGCAGCAACAATTGGCTCTTGAGCAACGAACATCTTTAGTTTATCCATCACTGCCATATCGCTTCCTCCTCTTTGCTCGATCTCTGTGAAAATTTCTCGCTTTCTCTGTGTTCGTTGGCACTGTTGTTTTTTTTTGTTCGTGCGCAATCAGAATCGGGTGGAGTCGGAAGTTGAATGGAATATAATATTTTTGTTACGTTGATATTCAATATATTGACACATAATTAATTATTAAAGAATTAAAGTAAATAGCTTACTTTTCGTATTTACCAATTTTTTCATATACTTAAAAATGCGACATTTCTCAAGAATTATAAGTTTAGTATCTTAAATATACGAGCAGTTCAGACTACATATAAGATATTAATGCATGTATGAACCGAATAATTTTATCAATGGTCACAAAGTCACATAGGCATATCCTTAAGCACTGATACACTTCATTCTTAAATATTTTAATGCAAAACACATCACATGCATTTAATCAACATAAAAGAAGATGAACCTCGAGTAGAGTCAATCCATTGGATTCATAGAGACTTTACAACCTAATGATATCGTTGCCTATTCTCCCTCTGTGTCATAGTCCAACATCGGCGAGACAAACGTAGGGGAAGAATAATACGTAGTACCAAGATCAATACTAATAGGAAAAATCGATCAATCAAGAAACAAAAAAAGGTAAAACAAACTAACTCAAAGCAGAGTACCTATATTTCCGATTCAAATGGGGACGACACTGGAGATGGTGTTGGACCACACAATCAATGGTGATTGCTCCGGCGGGAAGCATGTCGATAACTTTCTTTTTCTACTTTCGGCACAGACGAAGAAACGGGAAGATAAAAAGAGAACAGAAGAAAGAGAACAGACAAAAAATCAATGATGATTGTAAATTGTTCTAACCTTGGCTCCTAGATTTGGAGCATGGTGTGTGGTCTTCCTCTCCATTCCGATTGTTGGAGATAAACTAAGACTTTGTTGTTGGTCTTGAACTGTGAGAAGAGTGAGAAGGCGAGAGTAAATCGGAAAATATGACATCCCTATTTTTACGGGCTAAAAAGACATTTTCTTTACGCTTATTTTAAAACAAAGTATTTTTTATAAGACGGAATTTGTCCCATAAAAAGTTTTCTAGAAAAACTGTTTTTCATTGATTATTGAAAATTTGTGATATCATAACTGATACAAGAAAAATATGCATAAAGATAATCATCACACGCCTTACAACATCTTTTATACTAATGGTCTAAATCTCATTGAATCTCTCATTAGATCCAAACATCATTATCCAAGTACCTTTGTATTGCTTCTTGTGATACAAAGAAACTAAGTGGGTCAGATTTGGGAATCTGGTGAGCACATAGGATTTTCAACCCATAATAATATAATTGATTTTTTTTATTATATATTTTGCATCAAACAAATAACTCAGTTACTCATTCTCCTTATTCCCACTCATTGATCCTAAATCGATGACCTCAAGGGATCTATCCTAAAGGAGCTATGAGCGAATTATACTCCCTCGGGGATTCCTTAGTAATATGATATGATGCATGGAAACGCTATTCAAGTAGCCGTACCCGTATCTGATATTTGGAGGAAATGGAAACGGCAGGAAACGTTTCCTGGACGTATCAAGGGTTTCAAGAAATGTATCGGTCAAGTTTCCACAAAGTTTCCTATTTTTTTTCCTTTTTTTTTTTTTTTTTTTTTGCATGGGCTTCTTTGGTCCAAATAGGATAATGGTGTAATGGGCTATACGATATTACCCTACAACTATTAGGGTTTGTTTGTTTTTTTGGCAAAAAGACTTTTTGACCACTTATATATGCGGGCGGGTAGACATTTGGCAAAAAGACTGTTTGTTTTCTGGAAGACAAAATAACTCAAAAAGACTTTTTCATCTCTTTTTCGGGAAGACCTCAAAACATTGTTTCTCCTTGTAGAATACATTTCTAAGCTACCTTCTCATTGCCTCCATCGCTCGTTCCCTTTCACGATTACATCTCCCAATGGCGATCTCTCCACCGCAGCCATCCTTCCAACGAACGTCGGTCCTTGCTCTGCCTCCATCGCTCCATGTCGTCGTCATCTCCGCCACCGCACGATCAGATGCAATCCGTTCTGTTTCTTTTGGTTCTCCTCTTTCGTTTCTCTCTTCTTCTCTCCCTCTCAACCTGTATAATTAGTTTAAACTCCATTAATGGTGAGTTCCCGTCTACCATTTTCTCAATTAAAAACCTCAATGTTGTTGATTTCTCAAATAACTTTCTATTTATCTCTTTAATTTTGTTTTGTTTAAGATGTAAATTTCATGTTTCCTACTTTTATTTGAACAAGTACCTGAAACAATCAAAGTGAAACAAGTTATACTTCAACCATAAAAGGGCGCCATAAAGTTCATATCAAGATCATCAAAAACCAAATTATCATGTTTATTTTAAAGTAAATCAATAACATAATGCCTGTAATACATCGATTAGGCTCTAATTGATTTCGTTTTGCTTTGTTTAAGACTAGTTGTTCAACGAATACCATGAACATTGCGATCTCCAATTGTAAGCATAGAAAAAGGATTTATTCTTAAGAGAATTCCAAAAAAGACTGAAATACCCTTGAAATATTTTACTGCACCAAATCCAAAAGCCATCATACCAAACTCTTAACTCCAAAGTGTTTGAATAAGGAAATTAATAAAAGAATTAAAGGGATTATAAAAAGGTTTTTGAAGTGTTTGAGTGATAATATGGGACAACGGCAATTATGTCTTTTTTGGTTTTTATCAAATCTGTTAAGATTTTTGTTTGCATGGTCTCTTGTGATAATGATAGAGAGGTAAGAAAGAGGGTGTGGTTTGATATCTTTTGGGTCATTTGCAAAAAAACCACATTAAAAAACAAACAATATTTTGAATAAAGACTTTTTGAACGAAGGCATGGAAAAATATTTTTGGTCCACGTCTTCTTCTGCAGACATGGAAAAAGACTAAAGACATTTTACCACTTCAAAAACAAACACCACTTTAGTCTTTTACCGATCCCTGCCTCCCTAAGTCCTTAAATTTTTAATCGATTTCATATATTATCGTTTACAGGTTACTGCTTGGCTGCTTGCGCGCTTGGCTGTCGACGTTCAAGAACAACAAAGAATTCAGTGAATTCAGAAATCAGAAATCGATATGTATAAACTTTACATATTTTGGAATTATATATATATATATATATATATATATATATATATATATATATATATGTGTGTGTGTGTGTGTGTGTGTGTGTGTGTTTCATATTTTTATATTGTCGTATCTGTGATTTTTGAATTTTGTCGTTTCCCGTTTTCGTTCCAAATCCATTTCCCGTTGTCATATCCGTTTCTATGCAACTTAGGTCATATGTGTTAATAAGACAACCATGGGTTGAACAAAGTACCCTCATGAATGGTTCATCCATACCTACAGGTCGTAGTCATGTTCGTATGCAGCTCCTTAACATCTACAGGTTGGAGACCTGCCCATGTACAGTTTAGTAACACCTACAGATCGTAGACCCGTTCGCATACGATTCATTAATTCCTACATGTCGTAGGCATGTCCGCACACAATTTATTAACACTTTCAAGTTATGTACCTACCCATGTATGGCTTATAAACATCTACAGGTTGCAAGCATGTCCATGTTTTACCATACTTGTCTAGAATAGTCTGTGGTTATCATCAATACCCTACTAGGTGGGTACAATGCTAGTATAGTAGTACTATAAAATTCATGAACTCTCATTATCATTTTCATCTCTTATCATCCTTCACTACCCAACATATTATAAGTATGAAAATACATATATGGTTAAATAAAATCATCTCATATAGTTTCATCTAACACATAAGGTCTTAATCACAGATAATGGGCACGTATAGCTCTTAATTATCTAAATAATTCATATCTATGTGTAAGATAAAGTAACTATGCACCCACTTCTTAAAGTGGATTACTCTAAATTCGGCCAATGCTTCGCCTAACACCTTAGCTTTTCCTTTGATGTGACCTAGGTATGATTATTACTAAGTCTTACTCTTATATTCCTTATGATTAATGATAGTCTAGATTCCTCAACAATCCCAATGTCTACTGATCTATAGTTGATAAGGAGCAACCAGGTAAGATCATATCGAAGGTAGGGTATGTTTGGTATACAAAGCATATTGTTTGGAAACCTCACTTTACACACCTTACTAATCTAGCCTGGACATCAACCCTGTAAGTAGATCAATCAGTATTTATGACATAGAATCAATGATAAATCTTATTCATAGATTTATAAGAAAGAATATGAATATAAATATAAGTTACACTGACAACAACATAAGTACGGCTTAACTTACATAGATTTTCCTGACAAAAGTCCGAAATTACATTGGCATAACTCACACCTGATAACTTCTAATTGTTGGGCTCTCAGAGACCTTCGATATAGTCAGAATATCCTAAATACTAGAAAATTTTCGGACCAAAGGAGTAGAAATTCGAAACAAAGAGGGGGTGGGAGTGGATGATGTGAGGACTAAAATGGGGCTAAAGGGGCTTATATAGGCGTAATTTTTTATTGGCGCATTGTGCCCTAGCTTTGGTCAGCCTCCCTGCTCACGTCATGTGGCATGATTCTACTGGTTCTACGTTGGCGACTTCTAAAAGTGTGCCCCGCGCCTTCGGCGCGCATACGATTTTCTAAATTTTTAAAAAATCATATTTTCTTCATACGAGCTTTGTATTCGACGTTCTTTACATCCACGCATAGCTATCGACGAGTACTGCAACTTTCATTTAGACTGTGTATGCTATTTCTCACTCTATTTTTAAATTTATATTTTTAACATGTTTAGACTGTTAAAGTCTGTACAAAAATCATAACTCTTTCATACAAATCCCGTTCTCGACTGTCTTTTGTCTTCATAATACTATTTACGATATCTTCAATTCTCATTTAGATTGTTTTGCATAACAATCAACCGATCTCTTTGATAACGATTGCAACGTCTCGATTTTCAAACCAAATTTTTTATTTTTATTTATCAGAGTATTATTAAATTGTACGGAAACATGATTCCGAATGCGTGTGTGTACAGTTCAACCTTGCCGTTCTCACGAACTAATGGAGTGCCTGAAAAACATTTGTAACAACTGGTCAAGCATGAGGCTTAGTGAGTTCCCCAAAATACCATATAAAACAATACATTTACATGCATATATCGAGTATCAAGACTCACAATCACTTAAGTTGATGGTGCCATTTTCTAGGCTCACAATCGCTTAAGTTTCTATTGTCATGACCTCACATGTTAAGTATCTAGGCTCACAATCGCTTAAGTTGATATTGCCCTTTTATAGGCTCACAATCGCTTAAGTTGTTGTAGCCCTTTTCTAGGCTCATAATCGCTTAAATTGCGATTTCCATCAACTCACCCCTTTGTCTTCATCATAAAGTTGGCTTGCTACCTCAACTCTCCACATAACATATCAGTACATATATAGCAAACAGATCAACAGTCTAAAAACAAGCAACTAACTAAACTAATCTAATTGCCTAATAGCATATTGCAACCACCTCCAACTAACTTAAGCATAATCACATTTGGCCCAAAGATACTATGCTACCAGCCTATCCTACTAGTTCTTATATCCTAACATACATGGATATATATTGCAGTACACATTATAGTGAGGTAACTCACCTAGACAATTGCTTAGATGATTGAAGGATATCCCTCCAACATGAAGGGTGACGTGCCAAACAAATATTAACATATAATACTTTAACTTATTAATTTTTATGATGATCTGGTAATGAAAACTAGATCCTTCACTAATCCCAATGAATACCGAAAATTTCTTTCAAATAAGGATCAACCGAGTTAGACAGTCAGGAGGCATGATCATTTTGGCATATAGTCTTTCTGAACTCCAACAACCAAGCCAGCGTGACCATTCTAGTAGATCAATCAACATTATAACTAGAATTACTAATAAAACTTATTTATATATAAATCCATAACAATTTATATGAATATAAATATAAGTTACACTAAATCGTAGGTTAACTTACAGGGATCCTAGCGGAAACCATGAATTATGCGGGAAGAACCCTGATCCAAAAAGCTCTATATCTCAGCCGCTCTAGGGCCTCACTAAAGTAGTCAGAAACTAGAAAGTAAAGGGACTAAGGGTACGAGAGAGTTCCAAAAAAGTGTTTTGGAGGAAAAGAGATGTGAGAAATGAATGAAAATGGTCGCCTATTTATAGCTGATTTTGGGGTCCACGTCGTGCACATGCTCGGGTTCGTTCCATGCAATTGGTCGGAGGTGCTGACATGGCTCCATGCAGAAAGTGACACATGGAAAAATCTAGGTGGTGTGTTAGTGCATGCCATGCATCTAGTCTATGCGGTCGGTTGCGCTTAAAGATTTCTGATTTCTTAGAGATTTCATATCTTCTCTGTACGAGCTCTATTTTCGATGGGTTTTATATCCACGCATAAATATCGATGAGATCTACAACTTTCATTTTGACTCCATTAGCTAATTCTCACTTTATTTTTAAAGCTATATTTTTAACAGGTTAGACTTAAATCTCATATAAAAATCATAACTCTCTCATATGAATTCTATTCTTGACTATCTTTATATCAACAGAATCGTATGGACGAGATCTTCAAGTCTCATTTAGATTATTTTTCCTAACAATCAATCGATCTGTATTTCGTTTTCTGCATCATACATTGATTCACTGAAACTTCTAAAAATCGTAACTTCCTCTTATGAACGCTCTCAGTTTTGCGATTAGTACGAATTTTGTCAAGATTATTCATCCTAAATAGTCCTCTATCGCAACCGTTTATTTACATGACTGGTCAATCATACTGTAAAGCGAAAATGGGGTTTTACAACTCTCCCCCATTTATATAGATTTCGTCCCCGAAATCCTACTCCTAGTGCACCTTAATATAATTCTTATACTATCATATTGGGTTTCATGAGATCAACTCATGATCTAGCCGATGTTGTTGCATCGAATTCGTCCCTCCATACTTATTTGGCCGTAA